CACCGACAGAGGGGAGAATTCCGACTGGCACCCAGTCTCTGTCTGCTCCCAGGCTCAGGGGAGTTGTGGGGTGAGCGGCGTTTCGGAGGCTGGGTTCTGTTCTGGGAGTGCAGCCTGGGGCGCTTCTCAGATAGAGCATCTGCTGCGTGACTGAGTATCTCAGAGAAGGTTCTGGAGAATCATGAGGAACGCACTAATGACAACCAGCACCGGGCTTCTCTGCAGACTTTCTACGCTCTCACTTCCTTTCGTGTTTGTAGTGGAGTCTTGTGCCAGGACAGGCCTGGGCACCTCCATTTTACAAGTGAGGAAACTGAGGCATAGAGAGCTTAAGTTACTTGCTCAAAGACATACTGAGTCAGTGGCAGAACTGAGGTTCTAAATTCCTACTCTCTTCTGTTCCTCTAAAACCAGGTTTCTCAGCCTCGGCCCTATTGACAGTTTGGGGGAGAGAATTATTTGTCTTGGGGCTCCGTGACCTCCTACTAACTTTACAGAAGAAATCCAGCAAGAATTAGACTGGAGGTCCTATGAGAAGAGAGGAAAAGAGAAGAACAGCCTAGAAGAAAAGAGAAGACAGCTGGTGGGAAAGGTCATGCAGAAGAAGGTTACTATGACATACTCGGCGGAGGTCCTAGGGTTCCTTTACTGTCTCCTCTCCAATCCTCCTTTCCCCCTCCAAGGATCTCCAAGATCTATGTGACTGCTTATTTCCACCCTAAGTGCGCACTCGGGCCAGTGGGGATTTGTTTCCCCTTGTCCATCCTGAGGGCAGAGACGGCAGGTCTCTCAGGGGTGGCTGGGAAGACTAGGGTTAGGACCTAGGATGGATCACAGCCACGTTTTCTGTGATGCTCTCTCCAAGTTGAAAATGGAACAAGTGTAGACACTTACAGGTAATTCGCGTAGCTTCAAGTGGATCTGGGGATAATCTCAAACTTGAGAGCTCCTCTGTGTCAAGACCTGGGGAGTGGAAAGCAGGGGATCTGGGGCCTGGGGACAGGAATGCACTCAGAGGACCCGAGCCTCCATCCTTCAGCTTTTCCTTTGCTCCCTGGTATCATTTCTCCTCTTCTTTGTGCATCACAAGTCATCCAGGCCTCTGCTCGGGTGAACAAAGGAGCTCCGCTGTTCCTGAAACCTTGTCGTCATCTCCGGGAAGGGCAATGAAGCTATGGCTGGAGACCCTGGCCCTGTGTCTCTCCTCCAGGCTTTCTCTCTGCCAGTCCTGGAAGCTCACATGGCCATCCGGGATAGGACCCGTAACGTCTCGGAGCCTCACGCACAGTCCCCAGCAGCGTGCTGCAGCGTGGAGAGCATGGCATTTGGGTCTGGATTCCGATCCCACCTTGGTCACTGGCCAGTTGAGAGACAACGGTCAAGTCATCTGCCCTCTCTGAGTCTAGGCCTCATTTTCCTTTCTGTTCTAGGAGCTATAGATCCAAGTTTGTGCTCTCAAAGAGCTTATATTCTGGTGGAGATACACACAACAGACAAAGTTTTAAAAAAGATTATTACAGGTTAAAGCAAGTGTTCTGAAGGAAATAAACAGGTTGGAATAACAGAATGACAGAGAGGTGGACTTTTCCAGGGGAACCAGAGAAAGCCGCTGTGGAGGTGGGAACTCAGAGGTGAGAAGGAGCCATCTGCGGAATGGCTAAGGGCAGAGGCAACAGCAGCTGCCAGGCTCCTCAGTGGGAAAGGCTTGGTGTGTTCACCCAACAGAAAAGAAATGAGTGTGGCTATGATTGTGGCTATGAGCAAAGACAGAATGGGGTGAGAGGAGACTGGAGCAGTGGGCAAAGCCAGGGCCTGCCTGGGGCCTGCAGGACTTGGTCAGGAGTCTGCTTTGCTTTTAGAACAATGAGAAGCCTTGAAGGGTTTTCGCCAGACAGTATGACCAGTGTGGCACTGCAGATGCTTAGGATGAACAGATTGGGAAAAAGCAAATTTGGAGGCTGTTTCGAGGTCCAGGCGAGAGGAGGTGGTGGTTGAGCAGGAGAGCTGCACACAGATGCATTTAGCATGTCTGCCCTGGATTATAGCTACACTCCAACCCTGTGATGCACTACTTGAGGGCACCGCCCTCCTCATGTCCTTCTGCTGATCAGCCACGCGTCAGGAGGGCACCTAGTATGTGCCAGGCATTGCACTTCTTTTAGTTTGCTGCATCCTCACATTGGTCCTCAGAAATAGTTATTATTTCCATTTTGTGAGCAAAGAAACCCCAGAGAGGTTAATGTTCAAATCCAAATCTGTCTGATGCCATAGCCAGTGGTCTTGTCTCTACAACACTGTCTATACTGGATGGGCAAAAGGTAAGTTGCCACTTGTCCAACTGGTGTAATGTGCAGAGTGCAGGAGAATCTTTTGGCCAAAAATAGCTTCCCTACATATGGACAAGAGTAGAATTTTGCCTCAGAGGACCTGGAGGCCTCAGCTCAGCAAAAGATGGATGACCTGGGGGATGAAAACTACATTTGTCATTGTCAGCTGTCAACTCAGCAGAGGAGCTCCACTCTCGGAAGCAGTGCTGTCAGGGCTGGGGGCGGGAAGGCACGTGTGGAAGGGAGAGAGCTAGTCCTGGACCATGAGACGTTACCACTGAAGCCAGCAGGGATGACGAGTGCTGGAGAGCACAGTGACAATAACATACAGATACCAGCAAAAACGCTTGCCACTTACGGAGTGCCTCCTATGTACGAGGCAGTCAGTAAATGTACCAGCCCTGTCAGCTTACAGTGTGTCTAATGAACTTCTCATATCCATCCTTGATTCTAAGAGGTCATCGTTGAATAAATTGTTAAAATAAACAGCTAAAATAACAGTTAGTTTAATAAACAGCTTTTCATAGAAAAACATACACTAAACTTGCACAATGATGTTTTGTTGTATTGTGCTTTTATTAATGGAATATAGAATATTCTTCAGGATAACAATGCCAGTTTGAAGCCAAGCCTTAACGTTCAGTCTGAAGTCTCTGGCTCCCTTCATTGTGTGCGTCCGGCTCTTCATAACCCACCTGGAACTGCTTTGACCCCTGTAGGATCAACAGTGTAATTTAAAGCAGAATAAAGAATGCGAGGTTCCTTCTGCATTTTCTCTTTCATTATTAAACTTGTTCTTTCATCCTTGATTGGGTCCTCTGTCTTTTGACTAACTGAGAAACACTCCTTCACAGCGCGTGATGAGCACACAGCCTTCCTGCTTTTGGACTTCATGTGCTCTGTGCTTAGAGATTTGTGTGTGTCTGCGAGTGTGCGGGCATTGGCATCCTGTGTATGCCTCTTGCTGGGGACTGGCAAGGCCATTAGTGTTTTCAGCGTCACTTATAAGATGCATTCCGATTACTTTTTAAAACAATTTTAACTGTGTCCTAGAATTAGTTTGTGAAACTGAAGATTAAAGATGTGAGAGTTTACCTCACATGTCACAGCTGGCAGGTGGCGTGACTGGGAATCCAGGCCAAGTCTATCATGGACTTCTTGGCATTCAAGGGTACAGTTATTTCCTCCCTCTTTCTCTCTTGAACCCTCTCCAATCAGGCCTTTCTTCCCACCACTCCACCAAAACTGCTCTTGTCGAGGTCACTGATGTCCTCCACTTGGCCAAATCCGTTGGCCAGTTCTCAGGCATCATATTACTTCAGCAGCACTTGACACCATCCTTATGAAGCAGTCTCTTAACGTGCCTTTCTCGGGTCCCTCACATCACTGGCGGAGCCTTCTCAGCTTCCCCTCCTCATTCCTCCCCCTCCTGACCTCCAGGAGCCAGTCTTCAGGATTCTCTGTCTTCCTGCTTTTGCTGCCTGGTGGCCTCATCCAGTCTCAGAGCTGTCTCTCTGCACAGATGACTTTCACTTGGGGTCTGCGGCTCCTACAGCCCCTGCGCCTCCAACTGCCAACTCCACATCACTCATTGACTGTCTAATAGGCTTTGCAGACTTAATGTCTTAAACCAAACTCCTATTTTCCAGCCCCTCATCCTAAACTGCCTCCTTTTGCGGTCTTTTGCATCTCAATAGATGACAACTTTCTTCTTCTAGTTGCTTGGACAAAAACATCGGAGTCCTCCTTGACTCCTCTCTTTCTCTCACTCCCTGCATCCAATCTTTTAATGAGTCTTATTAACTTGACCTTCAAATTACATCTACAGTGTCGCCCATAGCTACTACCTTGGCCCAGCCACGCTGGCCATTCACCTAACGTAACTGGCCCACCACTTCTGTCCTACAGCCAGAGTGACCCTCCACAGCCTAAGTCAGACCAAGCTGTTGGCTGCTTAAACCCATCGGGGGCTCCTCATCGCAATCAGAGTAAAAGTCAAAACCCTTTATGGCTGGCCAGGCTCTGCGTTGCCCAGTGCCTGTCTCTCCTGCACCCTCACTGCTCACTGTTCTCCAGCCAGACTTGTCTGCTTGCCGGTCTCCTGCATGCCAAGCACACTCCACAGCAGGGACTCAGAGCTTTTGCACTTTGAGCTGCTTCTCTCCCCCCAGATTTCCACTTGGCTTGCTCCCTTGTTTTCCTGGGGTCTGTTCAAATGATACCACCACAGAGAGGCCTCCCTTGGACTCTCTGTCTAAAATAGCCACCTTCCAGAATTCTGTCCTACTCACTCTGCCTTGTCTGTGCCTACTGCACACGTGTCACTTGAGGTGGTACACCCCGATCTGTGTATGGCCTGTCCACACCACACTAAACACCAGCCCCGTGAAAGTGGGGACTGTGCCTGCTGTAGTCACGGCTGTCTCCCAGTGCGCGGAGCAGAGCCTTGCCCGAACGAAGTAGGCGCTCAGGGAGTGTTGGTTTGAACTGGCAGATGAAGGAACCATGTGGAGAGCCCACTGACAAAGACACGGCTGAGCTTCCGGTGAGAGAAGCACCTAGTTCCCTCCTGCCCAGACCTAACCCTCAGAATGACTCCTGCTGGAGTCGCCACCGAGGGCTGTGTGTGGCTGGCCCCGACCCCGGCTCCCTCTGCCTCATGTCTCCCTCCAGGTCTGCGGCCCTCCCGGCTCCGAGAGGCTTTTGCTATGACTGCAGTCTCCTTGTGGGCCAGGACTGCCCCTTGCTGCCACAGCCACACCAGGTGCCTGCCCTGCCCTGCCCGTCCTTGGCCCTGAGTCACCATGGGCAGCGTCAGTAGCCTCATCTCCGGGCACAGCTTCCACAGCAAGCACTGCCGGGCTTCACAGTATAAGCTGCGTAAGTCGTCCCACCTCAAGAAACTCAACCGGTGTTCAGACGGGCTGCTGAGATTTGGCTTCTCTCAGGACTCGGGTCGTGGCAAGTCCAGCTCCAAGATGGGGAAGAGTGAGGACTTCTTCTACATCAAGGTCAGCCAGAAGGCCCGGGGCTCACACCGCCCAGATTACACCGCACTGTCCAGTGGGGACACAGGGGGCCAGGCTGGGGTGGACTTTGGCCCATCCACCCCACCCAAGCTCATGCCCTTCTGCAATCAGCTAGAAATGGTAAGTGGGGGTCTCTGGTCAGGGTGGGTGGGTTGGAAAGGCAGGAGAGAGCAAAATGGGAGTGGAGAGCGGGGTAGCGGGTTGGGGCTGTGGTGGCGGTGATCTAAATGTTTAGATCTCCAAGAGGCCAGAGGGGCGCGTGAGGGCAGAGGTGCCCAGCCACACCAAGAGACCAAAGGCTGGAGGAGGAGACTGAAGCCGTGGTCGGCCCCCTAACCCAGAAGTCTGGGTGAGCCCTTCAGCCAGGAGCAAAGGGAAGCGACAGCCTGTCTGAGCTCACTGGGTGTGACTCTGGATGGTTGTGGCAGGGCCAGCAGCACACTTCCAAGCGCATGGTGCCCCGTGGGAAGGAGAGGCAGCTCCGTCCTTGTCTGGGAGAGCAGTGGAGTCTGCTGGGGGCGGGCCACAGCCCCTCCCGCCGTGGACTCATGGAGGCGCACCTTCCCTCACTTGCTCTGCTGGCGCCGCACTCCTCGCTCAAGCTGGGCCTGGAAGTGTCTTTGGCTGGATGTGGGCTATGAGTTTGTTATCATTGTCACTGTAGCAGGAATGAGGGAAAAGAGTCCTACGTAGCCAGAAACCCAGCCCTCATGCCGTTCAGGCCCCCATGGGTCCCACCAGCGCACGCTAAAAACAATGTTCCTGTTGAGTGCCCTGCGCCCACCCCCGGGGAATGAAGCAATGGCTTTGGTGCATGAGGAAACGGTCCTGGGCGTCTGCCTGGGGCTTTTCAAACGTAAGGGCTTGTACACTGCAAAGTGCCCTACCAATGAAAATAACAGTTTTCAGAAAAGGATTGTTACTTTAAGTGATCCGCCCAACCCTTCGAGGAGGCCACGGTCAGGCCTACTGGAAGGGGCAGTGAAGATGGAGAAGGGACTGACTTCTACAAGGACACCACGGGGCCGGTCCGGTGGCACAGCGGTTAAGTGCACATTCTGCTTTGGTGTCCCGGGGTTCACCGGTTCAAATCCCGGGTATGGACATGGCACTGCTTGGCAAAAGCCATGCTGTGGTAGGCGTCCTACGTATAAAATAGAGGAAGATGGGCATGGATGTTAGCTCAGGGCCAGTCTTCCTCAGCAGAAAGGGGAGGATTGGCAGTAGTTAGCTCAGGGCTAATCTTCCTCAAAAAAAAAAGTACAAGGACACCACGCTCGTCCAGCCTACTGCCTGTGCCTGCCCCACACAGAGACTCAGAGCCAGAGCCCTGGCCTGGGATCTTAACTAGCGAACCTAAACATGCTGCTCCTGTCTCGTGAGGGCTGGGACGTGCTGGCGACAGGCCAGTGTTTCATGAACAGAGTGCCCTGGTGACCAGTAGGGCAGCCCCAGGCATAGAGAGAGATTCTCCTGTGGCCCTGACCAAGAAGGGTGCCGCGTGGAGGCACACCTACTACCTGGTGGGGGAGGGAGAGACGGGAGGAGTGTGGGGGGAGACACGGGGTCAGTGTGGTTCTTTTCCTCCCCAGGGCTCAGAGAAGGGTGCGACAAGGCCCACGGCATTCAAGCCAGTGCTGCCGCGGTCAGGAGCCATCCTCCACTCCTCCCCTGAGGGAGCCAGCCACCAGCTGCACCCCACCCCTCCAGATAAGCCCAAGGAGCAGGAGCTGAAGCCTGGCCTGTGCTCTGGGGCGCTCTCTGACTCCGGCCGGAACTCCATGTCCAGCCTGCCCACACACAGCACCAGCAGCAGTTACCAGCTGGACCCGCTGGTCACACCCATGGGGCCCACCAGCCGTTTTGGGGGCTCAGCCCACAACATCACCCAGGGCGTCATCCTCCAGGACAGCAACATGGTGAGCCTGAAGACACTGTCTTTCTCCGATGGGGGAAGTAAGCTGGCCCACTCGAGCAAGGTGGACAAGGGCTCCTCGTGTGTCCGCTCCCCCATCGCCACAGACGAGTGCACCATCCAGGAGCTCGAGCAGAAGCTGCTGGAGAGGGAGGGTGAGCTCCAGAAGCTGCAGCACAGCTTCGGGGAGAAGGAGCTGGCCTGCAGCCAGACCTCCGAGGACCGGCTGGAGGCCCTGGAGCAGAGGGGCGGCAGCAGGGCAAAGCGGGCCTCGCAGAAGAGCCAGCGCACACAGCAGGTGCTGCAGCTGCAGGTGCTCCAGCTCCAGCAGGAGAAGCGGCAGCTTCGGCAGGAGCTTGAGAGCCTCATGAAGGAGCAGGACCTGCTGGAGACCAAGCTCAGGTCCTACGAGAAGGAGAAGACCAGCTTCGCCCCCACGCTGGAAGAGACGCAGTGGGAGGTGAGGGCATGGGCTGGGGTGGTGAGGTGGTGTGCTGGTCCCCTCCTCTCCTCCGCGTTCTGGCCAAGGGGGTGTGAACCCAAACTGCCCAGCAGACTGGGCTACAGCGCCAGCTGGGAAGGGGCTCCCGGGAGAGCATGTTGGGGTGCCTCAGTCTGAGCTTCCTACTCTCCCCACCTTGTGCCTAGTGGAATTCACTTCCAGAATTGAATTTACCAGCCACATGGTTGACCGGGAAGCTGGAACCAAGAGCACCGGGGCCTCCCCGGGCTATGTGAGGGCTGACTCACTTCCTCTGCTTCCAGGAGGCTCAAAGGAAGTGCAAGCCACGCCCGAGGAGTTCATGCTGGTCCCAGAGCCCTCAAGAGAGTGCAGGATTTATTTGTTGCTCTTAAGGGAAGGGACCCACCCACCAGTAAGAATGATCCCATTTGTGGCGGGTCTCAGTGCAGAATTGGCGGCTCCTCACGGAAGTGTAAATGAGGCTCTTTGGTAGGCTGAGATGGAAACAGAAGAGGAAGAAAAGGGCTCACACACACACTCAGACACACGTGGACAGGAGGCTTCTGGACCTGGCCTTGCTGGAGAACCTGCTTCACCCCCACATCCTGCTCAGTAGAAGTAGCTTTCCTCCCCTGCGGGGCCCCGGGCGGTGGTGCGGGGCAGGGAGGGCACACGTGGGCAGCTCTGACACTCACCCTGGCAGAGACTCCGACCTGGGAAGGGCATGAGGGCTCGCTGAGTCCGGTTAGACCAGCACCACCCAGGTGGCGGGACACCCCTCAGCAGCACAGCCACCATTTGCTCTGGGGCTTCCCGTACCTGACCGGGAAATTAGAGTGACAGCGACAGTAGGAGTAGAGGAGAAGGATCCTTTCTATGGAAGGGGCGAGGGTGGGGCTGGACAGGTGAGAAGGGAGAGTCACTCTGTTTGCCAGGTTCCCAGAATGTTCACTGTGGAGGAAGACCTTTCCTCCTCCTCATGGACGCTGGCACAGCAGAGCCTCCCCCATAATTGCCTCTCCACCAGGGCTCGGGGACACTCAGCCATCTCAGAGACATAAGCTAGTGCTGGCGCCAGGCATCCGTCCTTGTGTGTCCGGTCTGGAACTAAGCTGCACGTTGCTGTGACCTCGTCCCAGGTTGTCCAGTCAGGCTATGTAGGAAAACAATAAGTTGAATTAAATACTTATGATAACACATAAATATATTACAAACATATCTATAATCATTTATAGAGTGTCTTAAGTGCCAGGCCCTACTTTCTCTCATCTGATGGTTATAACAACCCTATGATGTAGGCTACTAATCCTCATTTACAGTTAAGAAACCTGAGGCACAGGGTGACTATGAGGGCAAACAGCTGGTTAGAGGACTTGCCCAAGGTCACCACATAGTAAGTGTGAGAGCTGGGATTTGATCCTGACCATTTGGTCTCCGAGTCCACATTCTTACTCCACCATCTTGCCACCTTGTACCCAAGTCCCCTGGGTCCTGAGTGGTCAGGCCAGGACTGAAAGCCAGGCCCAGCCCTCAGCCATGACTGTGCTGTTCCTTCCATGAAACAGATGCGGGCTTGGCCTCGGGAAGGCCTTCTTGGTCCCAGCCAGGCATCGAGGTGGGGCTGTGCAATGCTCGCTAGGTCGTTCGTGAGAGCATGGCGGGTTCCACCGTGAGAGGGAAAGTGAGAAGATACTAAGGTGGCTCCACGCCTGTTCTAAGGGTCCGTTCTGTGGAGGCCCAGGCCTGGCCTTCAGTCTGGCCAGCCTCCCACAGGCCAGCAGGAAACACTCTTGTGGCACAGCCAGCCAGACTGGCCCTGGTCTTCTTTCGAGCCACTGACCACCCCAAATGGCGAAGCCCCCAGAGACACATGGATCTGATTCAGCACTTTTGGCATTTTCTTTTATATGGGGAATAGGAGTAGAAATGGTGGAGGAGTGGCAGGGGGACAGCAGCTCCTCATTTGGCAGACAGAGCCTGTGTCTGAGCCAGGCCTGGTGCTAGTCACTGGGGTGCAGCAGTGAGTGTGTGAATACGGCCCCTACCCCTGTGGCGAGGACAGGAGAGCTGGGTGTGTGCAGGGCGGCGGTCAGAGGCTATGGGCATGAACACAGATGACAGAAATCGGGCAGCATGGAAATCGATACCATTGATGTGAACTGTGGGATGCTGGGGCTACCGGCAGTAGGCAGTTAGACCGCTGATCACTGATTTACACGGAGCCCAGATGGAGATTCAGACTCTGAACTGGGGGTGAGGCAGGCATGTGGACAGACCAAGCCAACTACAGAACGAAAGGAGCTTGAAAGAGGGGCTCGGCCTTCATGGGTCACCCAGACCACCCTGCTTGGGGGCTCTCTCCAGGGACCGTGTCAGGACCAGCTTGACTCTTTTAGGCAGTTAAGATGTGAAGGCCTCTCACCTCTGGGCACTCTCTTCTCCCCACCCTAACCCTCGGCAGGTGTGCCAGAAGTCAGGCGAAATCTCTCTCCTGAAGCAGCAGCTGAAGGAGTCCCAGACAGAGGTCAACGCCAAGGCCAGTGAGATCCTCAGTCTGAAGGCGCAGCTGAAGGATACCCGGGGCAAGCTGGAGGGCATGGAGCTGAAGACACAGGATCTGGAGGGCGCCCTGCGCACCAAGGGCCTGGAGCTGGAGGTGTGTGAGAATGAGCTTCAGCGCAGGAAGAGCGAGGCGGAGCTCCTGCGGGAGAAGGTGAATCTGCTGGAGCAGGAGCTCCGGGCACTGCGGGCGCTCAGGGCCCGGGAGGCCCTGCAGCGGGATGGTGTGCCCCTGGGGCCAGGCCTGGGGGCTGGGCCCGCCTGCTGCGAGGACATCCCCGCCCTGCAGCGCGAGTTGGAAAGGCTGCGGGCAGAGCTGCAGGAGGAGCGGCACGGCCACGACCAGATGTCCTCAGGCTTCCAGCACGAGCGGCTGGTGTGGAAGGAGGAGAAGGAGAAAGTGATCCAGTACCAGAAGCAGCTGCAGCAGAGCTACCTAGCGATGTACCAGCGGAACCAGCGCCTGGAGAAGGCCCTGCAGCAGCTGGCCCGCGGCGACGGCACAGGCGAGCCTTTTGAGATAGATCTTGAAGGGGCTGACATCCCCTATGAGGACATCATAGCCACCGAGATCTGAGGGGCCTCCTGGAGGCAAGGGTGCTGAGTCCGCCAAGGAGGGCTCCCCTCCCCATCTCCCCTGCACAGTCACTCAGGCCTCTCTGAGAGAAGCCTCCCCAGGCACAGACCTGAGACCCTCAAGGGGACGGGAGGGGTAGGGCTGCTATGTGGCCTCCCCTCCCTTTCCCACCTGCCCGCCCCTACATCCTGCAGCCTGCCAGACCTCTAGCTTTCCCAAGAGATGGGCCTGGGGATCTCTGTCATTTGGTTAAGGGCTCCCTAAAACTTGGCCTTTGTTCAAAATACTTAGAGATACTCTCACCCAGGGATGGTGGCGACTGCCGTGAAGGCAGTGGCCACCCCAGGACAGAAGTTCCCTTCCGCTTCTCTTCCCACAACCTCTTTTCTACCCCGGACACGTTGGGATGCCTTGGAGATAGAAAGAAACCATTTGTGACCAGAAGCCTTGGAACCGGACCAGGTCCTAACCGGAGCTCTTCCTCTGGCTGCGGGGTGTAGGAGCTGGAGTGGGCTGTAGAGAAGCTGGCTTAGCATCGTCAGAGCCGACCTGACCCCGGCAAGCCACAGAGAAGAGGGGAAAGCTGGGGCAGCCCAGGAGCATCTAGACTCAGCAAGGACACATGGGAGTCAGAGCGAGAAGCGAGGTAGTAATGCCCAGATGCTGCTGGGCCCCACTGCCTGGAGGTGAGCAGCTTCTGGATGGCTGGTGGCCTTTGACCTCGGTGACCACTTTCTTAAAGCCATAGACACTGAGGCCCTGGGGTGGGTGCTGGTGACACAGGGAGGGTGTGGCTTTCCAGTTGTCCCAGGAAGCGCCTCTGGATCTTTCCTCATGGGGCTAGAGGTCCGGGTTTCCCTGTCTGGTCCAGGCTGCCCAGCAACTACTCTGAACTTTTTCTTCCCAAGAATCAAGGCTTTGTCAGATCCAGAACAAGTTCTGTCCACTGAGATGGTGGGGGCCCTTCCCGGCTCTGCCTGCCCTCAGTTCAGCGGCACACCCACCCCTTGGTGTCTGCCGTGCTGCTTCAGACCAGAGTCCTCGGGGTCAGGAGGGGCCCCTGACTGCAGGCAAGAGCCCCAGGGAGAGTCCATGGCGCAGTCGGCCTCCAGCCCCCAGGAGCCCGACTGACGGTCGGGAGCGGGACTCCTCTGAGGACGGCAGCGCTGGGGCAAGAGACAGACGGAAGGGGCACTTTCTCTGTTGCTTGCTGCAGGGAATTTTCTTTCTTTCTTCTTTTTTTTCTTTCTTGTCTTTTCAGAAGCAAGCCAGATCTAGCAGGCAGCCAGTCTGTTTCATGTTCTATTTTTGACTCTAGCCACAGCTGCTGCTGGTCGGACAGCCAGCCCTTGCTGGATTCCTGGGCCTCATGCCTGCCTGCTGAGGGCTCCCGGAGACAGAGGGGCGGGGAGGCCTGAGCCCTCAGCAGTCGGACCCCGACACCCCTGCTGCCTCCCAGACCGTGGGGCCTGCAGGCCCCAGGGTGGGGAGGGGAGCTGCTTCTCTTCTTGCCCCTGGCTCTCCCCTCCAGGGCCCAGCACATTCCTCCCTGAGTCTGGGCTGAGGGCAGGGCCACCTTCCCTGTGGCTGGCTCAGCCTTTCCGTCCCTGGGGTTAAGCCGCCAGTCCTGCTGCCTTCACATGACGCAGGAGCTTTTCTGAAACTTTAAGCCATTGCTCTTAGTCATAGGCTAGATTTAAACCTGAGCTCAACAGGCCAAGAGCCCCTCCCTGCCCTTGGCAGTGCCCTCGCAGGGCACAGTGCAGCTCCCAAGTCAAAGACGCCCCACTCCCTGCGCCATGGCCCTCAGTCCCTCCACTCCCACCAGCCTGTGCCTTTGTTTGAGGTCTTCTTCCCAGTGAGACTGCCCCACAGGAGAGAGAAAGGGCTGCTGCCCCTTCCCAGGCTGGAGACACCGTCCCTCTGCCTCCCGAGAGCAGCCCAAACCCCATGCTGGCCTCCAGGTCTCCCTGAGAGGAGGTGCTGAGTGGCACAGCCTGTGCTCCCTGCCACGGGACCGTGCCCCGCACCTGCAGCCCTCCCCAGGCCAACCCACGATGGTCCTCCCTGCCACCAGCCCAAGGTCCCAGGGTGACCCATGGTGTCCCCAGAGTGCAACACTGTCCTGGAACATAGCGACCTCTCCACCGTGGGGTTTTTCTTCCCTTCCCTGTAGAAAAATATGCTTACTGTTCCTGGACTGTGCCAAATCCAGCTGCTCCAGCAGGCTCGGAACAGCAGGAGCTGAGCAGGAACCCGGGAGATCAGCCGGCACGGGCCTCAGAGCAGGCGGCCTGGCCCAGCGCCAGCGTGAGCTCTCTGTCCTGCCCTCTGCACATGCCTGCTGGCACGCTTGCTTGCTCAGTCAGACCAACCTGCTCTGCTCCCTGAACGATGCTTGCCTGAAAATGGTCCAGCTGTCCGCACAGAGAGAGCAGGACTCAGCACCACCTCACCACAGATGGGACTCTGCCTTGGGGCCTTGCAATGACCAGACTGTCACAGGGCGCCGCCATGGAGATCTCCTCTGGCCACTGTGTTGTTCGGGTCATTCCTGCTGGTCGCGCTCGCCCCCACAGGTGCACTAGCAATGTGGGGACTGGGAGCCACCTCTCCCCAGAAGCACTCCCTGAGCCTCTGCTCCCCGCCCCTGCTCGTCTGGGTCCTGCACCTTCTCTTGGATGAGAGGGATGCCCGGGGGTAAGCCAGGCTGGGCTGTGGGTCCTGAGTTCTGAGCCTGAGCTGCTATGGCAGGAGACATACACCCTGTGCATCTGGATGCTCCCTTCACCTCTCGGGTGGTTGGTCAGCGTCTGCAGGCAGAGCTGGAACCCCGAGTCGAGGCTTTGGAGGGACTGGCATTTAGAAGAATGTGTACATAGTCTTCTCTTGGTTGTTTCTTGTTGTTTGGTTTGCTTTGCTTTTGACAACCTTGTTTTATTTTATTTTTGACGCCCCTTTTTGGCCATGTAAACTATTTCTGGTAATTTTATGTTTTTATTTATGAATAAAGAATGCCATTTCTCATGCCCTCCATACCACTTTTATCTACCCTTCCCCTGGCTGTGGCAGCTCCTTGGGGCCACTCCACCTGGAACAAGAAAGATGGCGTCTCTTCCCACCAGTGGCAGAGGGGGCAGCCTTGATGAGGGCGGGGTCGGCTGGCAGGAGAGCATGGGCCTCCGTATCAGATGGACTTCAAGCTGGTCCCTGCCCCTTGCCACCCCTGTATCTGTGAATGGGCCCTGGGCTGACCCTGAAGAGGGGGAAAGGAGACCGGGGGGCAGAGTCCTCTGCAAAGGCAGAGGGTCCTCTCTAAAGAGAGCCCCTCCTGGCCGACCTCAGGCCCCCTGCCGCCTCCTCCAGCTGTACCTTGGCCTGTTGCATATGGCCTCCTGGGCAGGAGACCAGAGTGGCTGCTGTTGCCACTCCCTCAGGGCCTCCCAGCTGGGAGGGTGCTGCCACCACAGTGGCCCTCTGTCCAGCCCGCTTGATGCCAGCCTGCCTCGCTTGCTTCGACAAGTGTTCCCTCCCACTCTGGGCTCAGAGCCTGGGCTCAAAGGGCTGCTCTTCAGGTGGCCAGAGACAGAAGGGATGTGTAAAGAAGGAATTAAAAACACGAGGCAGCCTCTGAAGCACAAGCGGGGCAGAGGACAATGCCTCCGGTGGGAAAGATCAGCATGGGCTGGGGGGTCTGGGCCAGGGCGGCAGGCAGGAGGAGACCTTGGGGGCAAGGGTGGGAGATGAGTCGAGAGGAAGGGAAAGACCAGAAATCCATCCAGGGTAGGCGTCTACACCAGCGGAGGGCCCCCTGCCTGTCTGCACAGGGACAGGCGCAGCCAGGGGGTTGGAGAGGCAGGAAGGCACGGCACCAGGACCTCCAAGGCTGAGGATGGTCAGGCAGCTGGGAATGCCCGAGCCAGGACAGGAGCCCACGTCCGTCCAGCTCCAAGGTCCAGCTCTGGAGCACAGGGGTCGTGCCCGGCCTGGGGTAACGTCCCGCTCTTCCTCCTCGGCCTGCCCAGGCTGGCAGGCTGTGGCACTGGTGCTGCCCTGAGATACGCACCCCTCGAGTCGCACACCTGTGCAGCCGCCTTCAGTTCAGCAGGCCCAGGACTCGCCAATCAAGTCAGCAGAGGGCTGCTCGCCAGGTCCAGCCCGACTTTAGAAGCCTGGGCAGATTGCACTTTTGTGCTCTTGGTAGCCCTGAGCTGCCCTGTAGGAAGCCCCCCTACTCTGCTGGAGACCCCCTGGAACAGGAGGGGTGCAGTGGTTGTAGCTAGGCTCCAGCCGAGTGCAGCAGAGCGAGCGGCCCAGGACTCAGCTGACCCAGGGGAGCAGAGACTTGTTCCCCCATTCTGCCCTTCCAGAGTCCTGACCTCAGAACCAGGAGCACATTAAGCAGCAGTGTTTTCAAGCACTAACTCCAGGGTGATTTCTTACGTGGCACAGAAATAGATGACCAGAACGCCCACCAGCAGCCCCAATACTTGCCAAATCCAGCCCCCTTACTTTGCCTAGATCCAAAGATCTAGGAACACCAGGAAAGCGGAGCCCCGGGAGAGCGCGGCGTGGGAGAGATGCTCCCTCGGCTCCAGCAGCAGGAGCGCAGCCAGTGGGGTTGGGGGAGGCCTCCTGCACCGCTCTTCCTCTGCAGGGCTGGCCAGGACACAGCCTTCCTGGAGCCCCCAGACCTGCTTATGATTCTAGGAAAAAGGGGAACAAAAGGGAAATGAGAGAGGGGGGCTCCTTCTTCCCCGAGAACAAGCCGCAGAGCGTGGACCTAGGCAGCTGCTGGGCGGACGCTGTCTCCGCGTGCTGCCGCAGGGTAGGCTCGCCGGCGGAGGGGTAGGGCCTGCGCTCAGCCCCAAGCAGCCCCGGCAGCAGGGGTTTCTGAACCACGTGAGGAAGGTCAGGCTGCCCCCAGGTTTCTCCCCAACCTGCAGGTCTCTGCACTTTATGGTTCCAGTACCTACCTGGGCAAAGCTGAATCTAACCACAGATCAAAGCACAGTCCCTGAGACAGCTCACCTACCATTCAGGTAAGCTCAGTAAACACCGTGGGTCACAATCTTTATGACAATCCCTGCTCTGCAGCCCAGCCCTGGGTTCTCCCCTGAGGCCGGCGCGGACTCCTCAGCGGGAGGCAGCGAGGCGAGGGGTCAAGCGCTCCAGCTGCACCAGCAGAGCCGCTGGGTTCACCTCCAGTCTCCCGCGCTGCCGAGCCTGTGACGCTGGGTAAGTTACTTCATGTCCCTGTGCTTCGGACGGTTGTTTTGACAATTAAATGAGAAAATGCCCAATAAAAGTTAGCTCTAGTGTCGCTGTTATTTGATTACTCCTATCACAATTCGTTGTTACTATAATTACTATTATTTGTTAATATAATGTCACTGCTGCAAGATGCAATGAATTGCAGTGGTGTTCCAGGCTCCAGCGGCCTCAGCAAAGCTCCAGCGCCGGGAACAGCTGACTTCATCCCGTCAGCTGTCCACCAGCACATCCTGCTTTTTCTCCCGGCTCTCAGCTCCAGAAGGCTGGCTCGTGGGGGAAAGCCTCTGGAGAGAGGGCGCAGCTGGGGGAAGAAAGGAACAAAGAGGGATTTGTTCGGGGGTGTGGTGGAGCAGGCCTGGGCCGGAGCCAGCCTGTGACACGACCCAAACCCCACGGAGCAAGGGGCACTTAGAGCCCTCCTCCCACCGCCCCCAGAGCAGCCTCCGCTCTCCCAGCCCCGCCTCCTTCAGCGCCGCCCCCAGTGCCAGCCAAGCGCACGGACGCACGTGCACACGCAGTCCCGGCTGCTCTCCTGCCCACCACTCCCCCTGCCCCTGGCGCTACTGCCTCAATTATGGCTGATCGAGCAGTAAGTAGGCTCACGACGGCGTTTTAATCAGTGACAGGTGAGGCAAATTAAATTCCTCACAGCAGAACAACAGGACGATTTGCCTGCCGGGATGCGGCGCCTGCGGCCCGCTCCTGGGTGCGGGGCCTGAGCGGGGGCGGCCCGAGGATCCGAGGCCGGGTTCCCTCCGTGTGACCGCCGGTTCTTCCAGGCGGGAGGCTGTGGGCACAGCAGAGCGGGCCTGGGCGGGCCGCCGCGGGGAGTCCACGTGTCCTGGGCTGGAGGGCGGCGCTCCCAGAGCCCTGCGCTGTGCAGACGCAGCCGCGCGGGGCCTGCCGCGGCCACAGCTCGAGCTCGCGCTCCGACACCGGGCTGCCTTCTTTCCGCCCTTCTTACAGCCCCCTCCGCTGTCCCTGACTAGCCATAAAAGGTTGTGTTCTGAGCTCCTCTCCCCCACCTTCCCGCAGACTGAGAGAGGCCCCACCCTCCCCTCAAAGCAAGCCCTTTCCATCACAGTCCTGAAATTCCACCCTTAGATATGCATGTCTTTGGGCTGAGCTTTCAGGAGTGTGAATATCCCTGAAGAGGTGATCCCCAGTAAGTGAATGCTTTCTGAAGCATTTCCCAAACTGGAGAAAATCCGGGTCACATGAGAATGCTGGGCTCTAGGTGGGAGGGGGCTGGGTATGGGCACAGTCAGGGAACAGGGGTGAGCAGAGGAATGTCAGCTGGCTCAGGGTCACCTTGCTTTTCTCCCCCACTGCCCATCAGAGTGGCCCAAGCTCTCCAGGGCCCTCTGTCCTACAGCCCCTGAAAATGCCACTCTGAGCAGCTTGGAGCTCTGGTCCCAACCTTTGCCAGCACCAGACTGGAGGGACAGTGCCGCCCCACCCAGAGGTCAGCCTGGGAGGAGCCTCAGGACCAGCCATCAAGCTCTTCCTGTGCCGGCAGGGAGCTGAGGGAAGCAGGCCTGCCCCACAGCCAGAAGAAAGGAGGAGGGACTCAGCACCTCTGTGGCCGGGGCGTCCCACTGGCCTGGGGCTCCAGCTCCCCGGACTCTGCCCCGAAAGCAAATGCTTTCCAGGGAAACTCTGGCTCCGGCTGCATCTGGCTGGGCCTCAAGGACTATACTTAGAAAGCGGGAGGGGCCCGGGCGATGCCAACTGGCCGGCTCCGCGCGAGAGCTGGCATCGCAGAAAGACACAGTCGTGGAAAACCAAAGAAAACCCCGCCACCCCAAGCCCTGCTTCCCCGATCCAGTTACCGCCCCCTCCTCCCGCCTCCTGAACCCAAGAAAAGCAACCGTGCTCTCAGGCTCCACTGCACACGCTGTCTTGAACGTGTCTTAATTGGGTAGTATCATCTTATGCGCAATTCCCCAAGGGCGCAACTGTCTCAGAAAAGGAAAAAGCCTCTCAAGCAAATTTACTTTTCTTATTCACACACACACACCACACAGGCACACACCACACTTACACACACCACACATGCACACCACACAGACACACACACCACACAGACACACACACCACACACACACACCACACCACACACACCACACACACACCACACCTACACACACACCACACAGGCACACACCACACAGGTACACACCACACCTACACACCACACATACACACACACCACACATACACACACACACCACACACACACACCGCATACACACACACACCACACATACACACACACCACACATACGCACATACACATACACACAGCACACACACACAGACATACACACACAGGATAAACCAGCGGAAAAAGTGCTCCTTTTCTCTAGTTTCTAGATGTTTTTTAAGTTGATGTTGAAAATTAGGGCTTTAGAGGTGTGTGTGTGAGTGTGTATGTGGGTGTGTGCATGGTGTGGGTGGGAAGGGGCTGAAGGGTGCTGCCACATGCGGAAAGGCACCACATTCCTTCCATTTCATCCTCACCCCTCGCCAGAGAGCAAGTCAACCTCCAGGTTGCCTGTGACACAAGTGAGGCCCGCAGAAAGAGGGCAGGGCTCTCTGGCTGCCTCTGTCTGGGCCACCCTCAGGGGAGAGGAGCCAGCAGGGCGGCCCCTAGGAAGAAGTGTGGGTGTGGGCTAGGTGGCTCCAGAGCTGAGGGCCAGGCTAGGGAGGGGCTCAGCTGGGCCGGCTGGAGCGGTGGTCCTGGAGCGAGATCAGCTGCCACCTTGGCTCCAGCGTTCGGCCCACCATCTGTCTTCTCCCCTGCTCTCTGCACCCTCCTCTCTGCCACCCCACCTCTGACCCGGGACCGCACACCAACGCCATGCCTCGTGGATGGGGCCTCCATCCAGCTCCAGCCCACCCTCCGAGCCTCACCATGGCACCAGGAGCAAACCCAGAGTCCTGAGCAGTGCTGAAGTGCGGTGACACACAGCTTGCCTCCTCCTGCCTCCTGCCTCCAAGACGGCTGTGTAGATGCTCACTGGTGCTCACTGCCGAGAGCCAGACTTGTTTATGAACTTGGGCAAATTACTGAGAAGAGAAGGAATGTTTGTTGAGTGTCTCTAATGTGCCGAGGTCACAGGCACTTTCAGGGACTCCTGGGATGTCCCCTGTAAATCTCCAGTGGTGGAACTTCAGGCCTGAGGAGGACAGCTGGTACAGCCAGATTGGGGCTGGCAAGGGAAGGGGGGCTGGGGTGTGTTGTGGTCGGTGTGTTGTGTGGTGTAGTATGACATGATGTGTGTGGGTGATGTGTCTGTGTGCGGTTGGTGTAGCGTGGTGCAATGTGGTGCGTTGCGGTGTGTGTCTCATGGTGTGGGGCGCTGTGGTGCGATGAGGAGTCAACTTTCCGGGGAGCTCCTCTGCCAGTGCCGCAAGCGGCCAGCAAGCACAGCCCCAGGATGGAGGCCAGTGGCTGGTGGCCCTGCGGGAAGAACGCGGGTTCGGGCGTTCAGGAGCCGTGCCGCCCCCATGTCACAGCGCCCTGAATGGTAGTGGGATGCTGGCAAGCGTCATCTGCATGGCCAATGACCACTGGAGCCCCTTCTCCAGTCCCCACTTGGTCGCCTTCCCCCTGCGCTCCAATCTGCCTGTCCTGTGCGGTGGGACAGCCAGGAGGGAGGGCGACCGTGTACCACTTCTCAGAGCCGCTCGCTTTGGCCCACGGCCCCACCCCAGATGCTGAGGCCAGCGCCCCTGCAAGGGGAGGACTGAGTCGACTATGACAAGGGCCCTCTGTTGTTCCTGGGGGCTGGGTTGTGGGAGAGGATCTCAGCCACCCTCGGATCCCATCCCATTGAGGGTGCCATGCCTTTTGAATCCCCAACTGCACCCAGAGCAAGAGGCACCCACATCAGGCAGCATTTAGTGAGCAGAGCATCTGCTGACCCCAGTTCCTGGGATCTTGGCTCATGGTCTGGTGGAGACACAGACGTGAGGAACTACAAGGCTGACTGTGCCAACAGTGCCGGGCGCCGGGGAGGGAGAGGGACTGACTTGGCGGAGGGGGTGCCCTCTGCTTCTTTCCATTTCATTGTGTGGTTTCAGGGCCCTGGTCACACCTTAGTTCCTGTGGGGCTTAATTACAGGGGTCGGGGTTCAGGCTGGACTGGGGTTGGTCTCCCCCAGCCACACACACACACACACACACACACACACACAGAGCTCTGGTGTGAACAGCAGCTCAGGAGGGACAATACCACCTGCCTTCCAGGGCTCTGTAGTGTCCTAGGCTGCCCGACAAGGACCACACTCTGGGGGCCCTGAAACATCAGAAATTTATCGCTCACAGTCGCGGAGGCCAGAAGCTGGAAATCAAGGTGTGGGCAGGCCCTGCTCCCTCCGCGGGCTCTGGGCGGGGTCCCTCCTCTTCTCCCAGGTTCTGCTGGCCCTGCGGGCCCACCTTGGCTTGTGGTAGCGTCACTCCAGTCTCTGCCTGCGTCCAGCGCTGTGCCTCTGTGTCTTCACGTCGTATGCTCTCTGTGTCTCTCCCTCTTCTCACAAGGACACCAGTCATGCTGGATTAGGGCCGCCTCTTCTTAACTGAGGACATCTACGATGACCCTATTTCCAAACACAGTCACAATCTGTCCTGAGGTGCGGGGCTTAGGACGTCAACATGTCTCTTTGGGGGACACAATTCAACCCGGAACAGCGGGTGCTGAAGGACTGAGATTAAAGGGTGTCCATGCAGAGGGGGTAACGCCAGGCCCTCCTGTGGCGCAGACCGGAACAGACCCCGTCAGGATTGCAGCCAGCACAGGAGGGTCCTTGGGAGTCTCTGGGTGGGGGGGTGCTTAACTCCTCGGGTGGATTAAAACCGCCCTCACGTTAAGAAGCGGGTGGGCCTGGATGGGTAACTACTCAAAGCAACTTGATTTTCCCCAGAATAGACTCGGGTCCCAAGAGTGGGGAACTGGAGCCGACCCCCTTTGAAGTGCAAATACCCGCCCGGGTGCAGCCTGCGCAGGACAATCAGCCTGCACCTGCCTCGGCCGACCCTCGGCCAGCTGCCCCGCTCCCGCCCGCGATTCGTGGCTGCGGATCTGGCCCCAGGCAGTCGGTGAGCACCACTTAGCAGGAGGGGAAGGAAGACGACAGCGTTCAATGTTCCACATGCTGGCGGCAGCTGCGGCCTTCCCCTCATTTGCTTCCATCCCTGCGCCCTGCTGGGCTGTGGTGGCGGAGGGGAGAAGGGTGCGACCTGCCCTTTGTGTAACAGGCAGCCCTGGGGGGCGTCGGCCCATCACTAGAGGGGGACAGGACCTTTGTGGCTTCGATAAGAATCAGTGAGCAAACTTGCAGATAAGGAGGTACAGAGGTCTCCTGCAGCAGAAGGGGTCCCAGCTGGCTGCTCTCGTGACACCGTGTGGCTCCACCTCAAACCCCAGGGCCAATGCCAGCCCCAGAGACAAGCGGGGGTTCTGCTCCGGAAGCCGAAGCTTGGGAATCAGAGCAGATGTGGCGACCACACGGCACTCTGCCCGTGGGGCTTCGGTGCAGCTCCCTGAGCAGGCCTCAGCTTCCTCCTCTGTAAACAGGAGTCGGGATGCCGACGCCTCGGCCATTGGGGTGGGCATGAGAAAGTGTGTGTGCAGCGCTGTCAGTGATGTTACACAGGCCCTTCCCCCCAGGACCCCGGGGCCTCAGGAAAGGGGACCTCCCAGCACCACTCCCGGAAGCAGGCTGAGCGTGGAGGTGAGGCGGCCACCCAGAGGCTCTTGGAGCATCCTGGGTGCCAGGGCTGCTTCCCAGCCCCCTTCCTCCTTCCGTCCCACTCGCCGGCCCCTTCTTGCCGGTCACTTTACCACTCTGCAGTGTCACTTGCCTCTCAGGGCTCCACTCGGGTCTGTCTGGGCTGAGGTAAGCAGGGCTCTGTGCTTGAGCAGCCGCCGGCCTGAGGGGACAGGCGTCAGCTGGCAGCATGGCCCGCTGCTGGGGGCCTTCACTGCTGACGAAGCTGTGAGCAGTGCGGGCTGGGCAGTGGGCCTGCTCAGCCACTGCCTGGGGGCACTGCCAAGGCTGCCTTCCCCAGCTGCTCCTTGGAGGGGACAGGGCTGTGCCACGAGACTCTGGAGCCTGCGGGTAAAGGATTCCTGGAGCTGATGCCTGCTCCAGGCCTTCCTGGGCCCCAAGGGACATGTGTCCTGACCCACGGCAGGGGCAGTCCCTGCAGGCTCTGCAGAGGCGGAAGGGGAATTGGCTGTTGTACTTGTTTCCTACGGCTGCCATGACGACATGCCACAAACTGTGTCTTAAACAGAAACGTATTGCCTTACAGTCCTGGGCGTCCAAGAATCAAGACGTCAAGCATGTCCAAGACCAAGGGGCTCGCAGGGTGTCCCTTCTGGGGACTGCGAGGGAGTCTGTCCCTTACTTCTCTCCTAGACTCAGGGGGTTGCCAGTAATCTTTGGCATTCCTTGGCCTGTGGCAGCGTCACCCCAATCTTCACATACGCTTCTCCTTGTGTTGCAGACTTCACACGGCAGTCTTTTTTATAAGGACACAGTCATATTGGATTAGGGGCCACCCTATTCCAGTATGACTTCATCTTAATTTAACTGATTACATGTGCAATGACTCTATTTCCAAATAAGTTCACATTTGGAGGTGCTGGGGCATTAGGACTGCAGCGTATGAATCTGGGGGACATCATTCATCCCATAGCAAGACCTGAAGGTAGAACAGGATTTTGACCAGAAAAGACACATCTCCCTGATGTGGCACCAGAAGCTGAGATGAGAGAGCCTAGGCATAAAGATACTTGCACCCCTATGTTCATTGCAGCATTATTCACAATAGCCAAGACTTGGAAGCAACCTAGGTGCCCATCAAGGGACGAATGGATAAAGAAGATGTGGTATATATACACAATGGAATAGTACTCAGCCATTAGAAATGATGAAATCCGGCCATTTGTGACAACATGGATGGACCTTGAGGGTAGTATGCTGAGTGAAATAAGTCAGAGGGAGAAGGTCAAATACCGTATGATCTCACTCATAAGTAGAAGATAAAAACAACAAGAAACAAACACATAGCATTGGAGATTGGATTGGTGGTTACCATGGGGGAAGCGGGGAGGGAGGGCAAAAGGGGTGATTAGGCTCACATGTGAGGGGATGGACTATAATTAGTTTTTGGGTGGTGAACATGATGTAATCTACACAGAATTCGAAATATATTATGATGTACATCTGAAATAAATAAATAAATAAGAAATTTAAAAAAAGACAGCCTAGGGATGGAGCTCCCCTAGGAAACGGGGAGGAAGCCATGCTCTGGATCCAAGCCCCTCTGAACCATGGCTGCCTCCCTTCTGCCCCCTGGGAGATGGAAGGCAGTCTCTGGGGCTTGTCCTGTGGTGACTGGGAGCTGCGGGGTGCCCGAGCCCAATTCAGGGCGTTGGGAAGGTGGCTCACCATGTGGCCGCGCCTCTCCCTCTGGGGGAAGCTCCTCGGGTAAGGGCAGGCAGGGGCCTTCCATCCCTGGGACAACCCTGCTGTCAATCTGCATTCGCAGCCTCCTCATCTGTCAAACAGGGTACCTAGTTGTGTCTGCATCATCAAGTTGTTTTGATAATTAAATGACTCATGTAAATGTGGAGAGCTCTGCCTGGCACACAGCACATACGGAAATTCTGGCCACTGCTACCCGGCCCTAGGGGAGGGGGTGCTCTGAGGGGAAGACAGAAAGCAGCTTTAGGTGTAGAACCAGTGGGATGACACTGAGAACCAGCGTGGAAGAAGGCGGGCGGGGGGTGTTGGGGGAAGGAGGCACCCGGGAGTCCACAGGAGCCCGGGGCACACACCCTGCTCTGAGATGCCCTCTTCTCCTGTGCTGTCCACTGACACCTGGTGGTGAACACTGGAAACACAGGGAGAATCATGAGGGCTTTTTAAATTTCTGTAAGAGGATTAAAAGCACTACCACCCCTTCAGACACACGGACAACTCTGCTAACAGCATATTAGCCAGTCTACGTTTCCCCAACTAGCTTGCTGAATGGCCAACAAGGACCTCAAACTTATGAGGGTTCAAGCCACGTTTCGTGATGGTTCTGCAGCTGGAGCTGCCACTTCTCCCTGTTTGGGGCCAGGCCAATCCCAGAGCAGGCCTCAGAAGAGAGCCAGTCCTCTCTATGCCCCGAAACACTCTCTCGAGAAGCTGCAGCGGCCTGCCTGGACCGACGTCTCCCCACCCCACATCCTCCAACTAGCAGAAGAAACTGGCTGAACCGGCAATTCCGACGGCTGTGGCACGGGTCCTAACGGTCAGCTCGGCTGAGAAGGTGAGTGTGGGGACTGGGGGAAGCGGACAGGAGGAGCACAGAGAAGAGCTTGAGAAGGATGTAGCTGGCCCTCTCTAGAAGTCTGTGAGCCAATTAGTATTCTCCATGGATGCCATGACTCTCTCAGTCACTGGGCTCGGAATTAAGTTCCAGGCCTTCTTTGTGACAATGTGGATGGAACTTGAGGGCATTATGCTAAATGAAATGTCCGACAAAGACAACTACCTTACGATCTCACTTATGTGTGGAATCTACAAAAACTCAGAAACAGAGATCAGCTTGGTGGTTGCCAAAAGCAGGGGCTCGGGGTGGGAGGATGGAGTGAAGAGGGTCAGAAGGTACAAAGTCCCGCTTATACAATGACTAAGTCCTGGGATGTGACGTACAACATGACGATACAGTTAGTAATACTGCACTGCACATCTGAAAACTGCTAAGAGAGCGGATCGGAAAGTTCTCATCGTAAGGCAAAAATTTGTAACTACATGAGCTGATGGAATTACTTTTATTGTGGCAATCATTTTGCAATACATACATATAATCATTATGTTGTACACCTCACAATGTTATATACATTGTACAATGTTACGTACAATGTTATATGCCAATTATATCTCAATAAGACTGCGAAAAAGGAAAACAGATGCAAGCTATCCCCCTCTTCATTTTTGGGCATTGAGTTCAGGAATACTTCTCGCTTTTGAAGGGCACGTTCCCTAGACGTCACCGATGACCAAACCATGAGCAGTGGCGACAGACCCCTATCTTGGGTGTGCTCAGCTGCTGTGTGAGAGTAATGCCAAGGTTGCCTTCCCGAGCTGCTCCTTGGGAAAGGGCACCTTCTCTTGGAGGGGACAGGGCTGTGCCACCGAGACTCTGGAGCCTGCAGAGTAAAGGCTTCTTAGAGCCGACACTTGCTCCTATGCCTCCTGGGCTCCTCAGGAGCCACAGGATCCTGTCTTGCCCCGAGGCTGTGAGGGCTCCCTGGTCACTGCCACCCCAGTCCTCTGAGACTCGCTTCTCAGTAGGTATCATGTAGCAGAAAGGAGAGGTGCTCTTGGTATGGGGCGGGTTGGGCCTCCCGGCTGCTGTACTGACCAGCCTCACGGCAGCTCTCTCGAGGTCTCCCTTCTGGTCTGGTTGGGAGCAGCGGTGGTCGGTAAGAAGAGAAGACAGCACAGGGTCACTAGGGGTTGCTATTTTGTTTTGCTCTGCTGGAAAAGATGCCAGTCCCGAGCCCCTCTTCCCTCAAACAGCTTTGCTTAGGAAC